CTAGGAGTATGACGCCACACCCCCAGGCTGAAAAAGACAACTTATGCTACTCAAATTGTGCCCCATTTCTGTTACTCCCTTCTTCAAGTACTTTCCAGGCAGTGCCCCAAGCACTCGTCATACCCACCCATAATATATCCAAACAAAGAACTGAATCATTAAGTCGATGAGAAAGAATATTTTCCATTCCACCCACAGCTGTGAGCTTTCTTAAAATCCTCATCCAAAACCTGTTGCTTCATCTTCCCTTGGCTAGGAACTGTGTGCTTGCAACCATCACAGCCCTTTCACACATGAACATATACTTAAAATCTGGCAGCACATTGCTTTGTGCCTCAGCAGTTTGTACTAACATGTATTCTGACACTTCAATCTTTATGGGTAATACCTCGACTTCATCACTAATGAAAGCAAGCAAGCCTGTGGTAGATGTATCCCCAGCAATGAAAGCAGATATTAAGAAATTAAGCTTTCCCAGATGATGTTTATCTTCCCCTTTTCATCAATTGATTTCTGCTGATAGGGCAGAGGCAATAATACTGGCTGTTCAGTACAAAAACAGTCTTCTTTCGTAAATTTCTGGGCATTTGGTCGCTAAATACTGTTTCAGCACACATCTCTCCCATATGATTGGTCTTCTTTATCGAGCTTGATGGGAGAAATTTTCTGGAGGCTAGTTGTTGAAGAAACTTCATATCTTGACATTTGGTCACATCGTTTTACTTTGGAGTTTAGGGCTTTGTTTAGAGCTTATTATTATTATTTTTATAATTCATTTGCCATTCTCAATTGCATCCAAATGTAAATTGCACCCAAAAGCATCTTAGACACCCACACTGCCCACACTCACTCACTTCACCATGCGTGCAGTGAGACCAAGCATTTGGTGCCATATCTTTGGGCTTCTAATTGGCATTAAAACAAAGACTTGTACAGTAAAAACAGCTGCTTTGTAAAAGGAACCTTTGAAAAACAGACTTTGACTGCTACTGCAAAACAAATGGTTCCTGCCTCTTTTAGCTGGTAGCAAATTTTGGAATTGAACACAGGCTGTGTCCCACTCCAGTCAGCCTGTTCCCTGCTGAAGGGCATCCCTACAGTAGGAAAAGGAGAACACAACTGTGTCAAGGCAATTCAAATAAAAGCCTTAATCTAGCAAAATTGTTTAAACTCTACCTTTTGAGTACGCTGTGCAGATGGCCCACCATCAAAATCCCTATCTCCCTCCACTAGCTGAAGCAGCAATAGCCCTGAAGTAGTGTTTGGGATAATGAATGCGACACTACCCCAAGATACAGGTCACAGTCCCATTTGTGCCTCGAGGCTCTAAAAATCTGCTCAGCCTGTGAATCTGTTCCGGCTGCAGGAGCTGGGCCCAGCGTTTCACTGGGACAAAAGCCTGGTTCATCCACCAGCACAGGCTCAGCTCGTTGTTCTGCAGCGCCACGTGCCAGTGGCACCTCAGGGATGCTTAAAACTAATTTATCATCCAACTAGGCACAGCATGGGCTTAGCAGCAGAGAGGGCAGACGTCTCTAATCTGGTTCAGGGATCCCTTTAAAGTTGCTGCCATAGTTTAAAAGGAAAATTGAGTAGGGAGATTTGCCTCTCCATCTTTTCAGACTTGAAGCCAGAGCACCAAAGAGCACCGAAGGCACACAGCCTCACTGCCTGAAACATTACAGGCACTTGTGTATCATCCTGCAGCCTTACAAAATATGAAATAACTAAAATTCTTCCACCCATTATTTTTCTACACAAGATCAAGCTAGGAGAGAAATGGAGGGGAAAGAAAAGATGATCAACACAGGGAAGGCGGGGAGGCTCCAAAGATGGGAGGTCCTAAAGAAAGGTCTGCAATTCTGACAAGTTTAATGCCTTTTTCTGAAATTGAGATGTGGGCAATTCTCCTTTTCTTAAAGCTATTATAAAACTACCTGATGACAGTTTTTAATTTACATTCTCTGCAAACTAAACATTACTTTCAGTTAAAATGATCGATAGTCACTCATACACACGAACTTCATACTTACTGGGCTCTACCTGCGCAGTAATTCCTGCCAGGTGAAGGGAATTGCTTGCAAAAAAATCTTAGTGCTTCTCACAGGAGCACATATGTTTTCTGCCAGTACTGTAACATACTTCTGCAGTCATAAGTGCTGCAAATTGAATTAACACAAAGGTGTGTAAGAGGCAGTATCAGCACTGTTCTTTGCATAATCCCAACAAATGATAGTACAGGTCAGCACTGGCTTTGACGGGACACTATTACTTCAGGAGATACTCATAGCAGCCCATCAAACCTACTTTATTTCGCATTTCCTAGGGTAATGTGAAATACTCTTCTCCAAACTAAGTACATATATACACCTTGACTGTTTTACAGGAAGATGGTTTAAAGCACAGTGTAATTAAATGCCACGCCATTAATCTACTTTGTGTACTGTGGTCTTAGATAAGGCTGCTTCTAGCCATCAAACAGTTTTATGTCTTTTAGACATAGAGGTTAAAATAGGCTTTAACATAATTGGTAGCAATGATCTAATACTTCCAGCTTAAGGGCAGCATTATTGTAGCCATAAAACAGGAGAGAATACATTTAAATGCCGAATAGAATTGGTTTGTTAACTCTTGCTCAGGCACTACAGTGTTTAAAACACGTCTTTTAAGTAAGTGTATATAAAATCATCAGTGACACCACAAATAATAGTTAACAAGCTAAAAATGTCAGCAAGTGAAAAACATAAGATGAAGTTTTGCCTGAGTCATATAGTTTAATAAGAATTTTAAAAAATGGCAGAGATTTCTCACATCATTTATATTTGATATGACTACCATACACTGCTGTGTGGGCACTTAAAAAAATAGAACTAAAAACAGAAATAAAAACTTCCTTATGTCTTCAACAATGCTTTAAATGTAGTGCAAGAATATCTTACTGAACCCTTAGGTATTAGGTGTTACAGAAAGCATTTTAGTAAGAAATTTGAACAGCATTGCTGCTCATAGTTAAGCCTTTGCCTGAAGCCAATACAACTGTCAGCAATCACAAGAGATGTGAGACAGACCTGCTGTTAGCACATTCAACATCCCACCACAGCGTGCCAGTTCCAAGTGGAGAAAAAGGATAAGAAACTGATATAAACCAATTTGTCAAAAAATTTAGTGGTTCCTAACTAATTTTCAAACTGAGTGAGAACAAGGAAAGCAGGTTGCTCTGCAGCAACCCAATATCAAGCTATGGATTTTTTTTTTTCAATCCTCTATGAGCAAAATTCAAAGAAAGTTCAAGTTTAAAGCCAGGATAAGTACAGAGGCATATACAGAGACTTAGTCCGAGGTTTTAGAATTCTTCATTTCACATGAAGGACAATAAAGACTACCTAAAGACACCTTACTGGTGTGATCCAAAGATCCCTCACCGATTTTATAATAAAACAATTCTTACAAAATTTAGCCTAGGCTTGTCAAGTCCCTAATATGCCTCTGAAGTCCTAATAACCAACAAAACCATCATTAGTCACTGCCTCTACAGCTAACATACAAAACCTCCTGAAACTCAGCAATTCTCAAACACCCTCAGGCTGCTGCACAGGATTAATCTGCCCTGATAATTAACAGAATGTAAAATTTGTCACAGAACCTCCTGAGCTGGAAAGGACTCACAGGAATCATCAAAGTTAGACTCCTGGCACTGCAGAGAATATCCCAGGAATCACACCATATGCCTGAGAGCATTGTCCAAACACTTCTTGAACTCTGTCAGACTGGTGCTGTGACCACTTCCCTGGAGAGCCTGTTTCAGTGCCCAGTCACCTTCTGGGTGAAGAATCTCTTCCTGATATCCAACCTAAACCTCTCCTGACTCAGCTTCACGCTGTTTCCTCTGGTCCTGTCAGTGGTCATCACAGAGACGAGATCAGTGCCTGCCCCTCCTCTTCCCCTTGTGAGGATGTTGAAGACGACAACGAGGTCTCCGCTCTCCTCCAGGCTGAACAGACCAAGGGACCTCAGCTGCTCCTCCTATGGCATCCCCTCAAGGCCCTTCACCATCGTCATTGCTCTCCTTTTGGACATTCTCAAATAGTTAAATGTCTTGTTTACATTGTGGCAGTCCAAATTGCCCCCAGCACTGGAGGTGAGGCTGCCCCAGCTCAGAGCAGAGCAGGACAATCCCTTCCTTTGCCCGGCTGTGATGCTGTGCCTGATGCCCCTCAGGACAGGGCTGGCCCTCCTGGCTGCCAGGGCACTCCTGACCTGCCATTGACCAGAACCGCTGGGTCCCTTTCCACGGGGCTCCTTTCCAACCTCTCATTCCCCAGTCTGTACATATATCAAGGGTTGTCCCATCCCAGGTGCAGAATCTGGCACTTGCCCTTGTTGAACCTCATATGGATGGTGACTGCCCATCAGGGCTCCTCTGCCTTCCAGGGAATCAAGAGTTCCTCCTAATTTAGTATCACTGAAAGCTTACTTAGCCCTTAATGAAGATGATGAAGAGCACAGCCCTGAGGATGGAGCTCTGTGGAACCCCACTAGTGATAGGTCACCAGTCTGATGTCACCCCATTCACTGTAACATGAGCCTGTTGCTCATCTATCACACGATGTGAGTATGTGCAGCCAGCATTTCCAAAATGCAGTTAGTCTCACAAATATAGACATCTAAAACTGGTCATAAATAATTTCTTGAAGTGAGTTTTTCTGTGTTTTTATTTTTGTTTTGTTTCTTAAACTTTCTCTTTAACCAAAAAGAAATGGAGCCTTAACTGACTGGACTAGGTTTTTGTGTCCAGAAATAGCATTAAAGGAAATCTCCATTAAAGATGGAAAAGAGTTAAGAGTTTGATCCAAATCCACACCAGAGACTAATGTGACAAGAAAGGGATTTGGAAAAGAGAAGGCAAACAGGCTCACAGCTATTTAACAAATTTCAGAAGCATACTGAGGTACAAAGGTGGTGGTGGAAATACCCATTCAAAATAAGGAAAAAGATACATAGACAGTTTTCCTCAGTTTAATATCAGTTGATGTTATAAACTGCTAAACCCAGACATCTTCACATTATTACACCTGATGCACCATAAAACAGATTTATGTTACAGTGTAAGGTTCAATATTATAAAAGTTGCAGAGACCTCCACACAGAAGTCTTAATTTTTCATTCCTATTCACATCTAAAACAAATATTCTTAACTGTGTACAAATGGAGTATTTCCTTTCATCTTCTAGAGCCGCTTTACAACCACCAAACAGCAACACCAACACTGGTTGTGAGAAATCAACTCAAAATCAAAGAAGTGCCACTGCAGCCATCTCCTCAAGTCACACACACTTCCTGCTGGAGAGCTGGCTGTGGAATTTTGCTGTCCTCTGTCTTTTCCTGCCCAGGAACTTGGCACACAGTCTTTCGTTTGAATAACCGTAGACTCAACCGTAACAAGTCGCTGTCCATTGCTGCAGAATTTGTGTAAGTTTGTTTTGTTGCACCCTGTTGAAATTGGAAATGGAATTTTAAAAAAGGAAGAGCTGAAAACAATGTCTTTTAACATGCAAGCTGGGAAATTAACCTCAAGCGCTCTCAGTAATTAGAGGTTTAATCATACTAATTATACCACTAGAAAAGACCTGGAGAATTAATGATTTTTCTAGCATACAAAATCATAAAACCTACTGCAGAAGTTTTAATTTTAACTTGGATTCTTACAATTCTTATAAAAGCACATGCAATCTTAAGCAGGAAAGTTATTCAACAGTCACTTTACCTAATCATTTTTATTATGCATTCTCTAAATATAGAAAATATGTAAGATGATAAGAAACAGGACCTAGCTCTAGTCTCAAATTAATCTCTCATTCTACATAAAAAATGAACACCTTACAACCTCTCTAAATAAAAATCAGTTTATTATTTAAAGGATCAGATCTGCTTCAGAACAACAAACGCAGAGAGAGTAAAGCTCTGCTTAGGGGCATCTGTGTTTCCACACTTGGAGCCAGCACTAAGCAGACCACTTGCCTTTTCATTCTTCATGAGCTGTTTGCGAATTGCAGAATCCCTGCGGAAGCAGAGTGCTTTGCAGCAAGGACCCAGATTGCTGAGAAGACCTGCTCTCTCTTCCTTTCGCCGAAGTGCAGCCATGTTCAGTGCTCCCAGTTCGTGTTCAAAAAGGTTTTCTGCATCTAGAAAGAATCGAGATTTGCAGAGATCAATATATGCACGGTATTTTTGAACAGCAACATACAGTCACATTAATTTTCTTAACGTTTTACTATTTGTATTTCTGCCTTCTAAACAACTTCAAGGTTTGGGAAAGAAAGAGTATCTGAGTTTATAAAATAACACGAATAAATCCTTCACCATTCAAAGCGAAAGATGGATACTCATTCATTTAGTTTCAGCACTGGAAGGCAATATTGAGACAGCAATCACTGGGAAGCCCAAAAATCAAGTGACAGCTTTGGACAGAAGACAGGGTATGATTTATGGTCAGACGTGTGACGAACAAAAGATGTTTGTTTACCACTTGCATTAATCATAAAGCAGCCCAAGTTTCACTTCTTTGCAAGACATCATGTAACTGTGCCAGTGTCAACACTGTTTTTGTATGGCTATGCAGAAGTGAAATACAACTATCCAGAATAACGTTTTCATTTTTGGTGTATGAACCTGGAGAACAAGTCAGCAGCTGCCAATGGACTACCCCTTCCTACTGGCTCACCTAAACCATTTAACAGAACTCAAGGTGACAGAACCAGTCCTTTGACACATTTACCAGAAGAAACAGTGTGCAGAAAGAACACTTTTAGAAAAGATGGATCCTGAGGTGAATCTTGCTCTGCAACAAGTCTGTTTCTATGAAATGCAAAGGCAAAAAGAGCACACAGGGCTGGACCAGGGCTTATTGATTTATGGCCCTCTTACAATAAATAGGAGGATTATCATGTAATAGAAAAAAAGCTGGACAGGTATGTGACTGAGTCCAATCCAGATGCCTCTATATAGTAAAGCTGGGTGTTCAGCAGAGAATTTAGCACCTCACTCAAGATATGAAGAACCTTGGGGAAAATACAGCATTTAAAAGCATATAAAAGACTGCTCTAGCAGTTTGGAAGTAAGAACACAGAAGAGGGCAAAGATGAATTTTTTAAACCACTCAGAACTTGGATGAAACTCAGTGGTTTTTAAATAAGTTTTTAAACAATGTAAAAAGACACAAGAAATTTACATAAAATAAAGGGCAGGTTAAAGAGAACTGCACTGAAGTCAAAGACAACCTCAACAGACAATCAAAAAATGGAAATAAGTGACAAGACACAAAAAGGCCACTTCAAAGGTAACACGGACAGCTTGCAGAGTCTTCTCAGGTGCCAGATGCTTGCTGAGCATATCTGGCAAGTAAGGATGTCCATATCCTTAGAGGAACAATTGCATATAATAGAGGGCAAGTCAGCTAAAAATCCCAATGCTATCACATACAAATTTTAGAAAGAAAAAATAATTTAAAGAGCATCACACCCTGAAACAAGGTATCATTTCCCTACTTTCTGCATTTAATAGTATACCAGAAATACTTCAATTTGTTCCTCAACAAGAACAAAGATGGGAACACCAACATCAAGATTAAGACAGGGAGACAAATGATACCACCATGAAGCAGCTCAACTGGTTCCTGGGATGTGAAAGAGAAAAATTAGTATCCTTTCTCATGGAAAAGCCCTGCTAACGCTCAGAACTGTAGTAAACAGCACAAGTACCATTGATGCCTATCCCATTTATCATTCATATCTCACAACATTCACTTTCTCCAAATTCCAAACCTGTAAATGATTGTATTTCCCACTTTTAGTAGAGGTATAATATACATATTTCACTTAGTGCCTTCATTCTGATCCAAAACCCCTATCTATGAATTCTAGAAAGGATCCTTAGAATGTAAATAAGAAATCTTATTTCTTTCTTGAAATACTACTACTAATTCACTGGAAAAGATATTTGGCTCTCTAAGAAACTGCTAATATACTTTAGGCTAGGAAAGCATGAATAATCTCACAAAAAGAATATTCCACTAAGATAAAAACAATTTTGTTTTGTTTATTAGTCTAGACCTCCTCACCATTGCTGGAATCAAAACACTAATCTGACTAATATGCTGCTGTATCACACTTCTGTAATTTTCACACAATACTCATTATATACTTTCTGTGGTCTTTGAAATCTAAAATAATGAACTAATGCACATTTCATAAGGACTTTTTCACTATGCACAGAAGACAGTTTAATCCCTGCAGAAGTTACCTTTAGGTTTTTCTAACACTCTCTGGCATGTCTCTTTTATTTTGGTGAAGAGCTCTGGTCCTGCCAATCGCTTGGAAATGCCGACTCTCAACATAACAGCACCTGGTGTGAATTTTAAGAGTGCAGCCCCAGGCTCACGTGGTTCTTTTGGCTGCTTTGGCATAAGACTGGACCAGTCTACATCTATAACATCCACTGGATCTGCAAAAACATTGACAGAGAATGAGTTATCACATCACTACCCCTTACCATAGCTGATTAATTTCACATGCTGTCTCCTGAAAGCAATATATATATCTTAGATGAACATTGTTCTGCAGTCCTCTTGGACCCTCCAGGTAAGGAATGTCAAAACTCACTTGGATGGGTGGAAAACAGGAGAAATACAAAAATAAATAGAAATAAAAAGCTAGGTAGATTTTAAAACCCCAACTCACACCTAATATTCTGCTTTATTTTTATTGCAATCCTTTTGTGAAAGGTCCTGCTTAGCCAGCAGGTTCAGACATACTACTTACGCATTCAGAAAAGTCACAGTACAACTGAACATGCTAAGATGGATTCAAATTAAATGCTCAGAAAACTAGTTCATGCAGCCCAGATTACCCAACTGAACTTAGGACAATTAGGTAATTCCATTCTTCCCAATGCACTTGGAAAGCAATCAAGCACAGACAGAAATCTGCTCACAGACTGCACTTCTAATTCAGAAATACTGTCAACATCACAACAGCATTACATGCACACTGATCTAATCTATATTCAAATAATCACAAAGGGGGGTTGATATACTTTTACCAGGCATCTTCTCATCCTCCTGTTGATCCTCCCGTTTTTCAGCATCACCTGCCAGAATTTCATCCAGTTCATCATCACTGATCGGCTCATATTCTCCAGCACCAGACCCCAGTGACTGCACATCATTAGTCTTTGCTTCATCCTCTCCTCCTACAGAGACAGAGACACACTGTAGCTTTAAAGCAATCATATTTGTTTTCTAAACGTGCCATACACCACCTGAAGACAAAATGGTTTAGCAAACTAAACTGTCAGCTTTTAGGAACAAATATATTCAACATAAAAACTGGTATTAACCCATAGAAACAGTGAAGTTATTCCTCCCATACACAATGTTGCAGTTTGAATTTTACATATGCTGGTCAAAATTTTGGTGCGGTTATTAGTCAAACTGCTCAGAGAAGGTCATTTTCACAACATACATGTTGATTATCTGATATCTGACAAGTCGTTTATAATAATAAATAGCTTATAAAAATCTAAGTTAGTGTCACAGATGCTTTTTCAGATGCTTTAGCATTTTACATTCTAAAATCTAAATTCAGTCCAAAGGTCCTAAAAGAAGTAACAGAACTCCAAAGTAGAAAAAGGTAACAGGTATCCTGAAGGAAACAATTATGTACAGAATTTTAGACTTTTTGAAGCAGTCACAAGAAGAGCTTTTAGAAAACCATGCCAAACTTCTTTGAGTTGTTACCCTCCTATCCATCCACATACTATCAGCATACACAAATACATGTACTGTACATGGAAACATATTCCTTAGGACCTGTGAACAGAAGACACTCATGAATTTTGCAGTTCACAAAAGGGACACCCTCTCACCTCCAAGACTGAAAGATCTGACTCAAGCATTTAAAAATTCCATTGCTCTAAACTCAGGCATTATTACAGTTCTCCATCATGGGTACAAGCAATGAGTGGTACCACATGAAATGGACAGAATTTACAGGGATCCTCCTCTGTGGATGACTATTCTAATACCTTCCAGCTCCCTTAGCCAGAGTGAAACTGCTTCCATTTTAAGTTTCCCCCCGTTCCTTGGGGTGGGTTTCTTTTTGCCTTGCTTTTGTGGGAGAAGAAAAAGTAATCACCTCAACTAACCTAAAAATCAGCAAGGAAAAAGCAAGTAAAAGACAAGCCAGTAAAGCATAAATGAACTATTCAGACCATCTGGCAATGCTTTGGAGGAAGTATATAGCATCTTAGGCATTATTAAAGCCTACTCCTAAAGCAAACACATTAGGTTCAAAACATTAAGATAATTTAACAATATCCTGACATATTTTATAAAGACAATAAACAACAGTAATTTTCCCAAGTAAATACCAGATATCTCCCTAACATCATCACATCTGGAAACTGTACTTAGTTTTCTAACAAGTTTTTCCTTTTTAGAAAAGAGAATAAGGTGACCTGTACTAGATTTCACTCTGTGTCTTCCAACCTTAAATATTCACTGCCTGTAAGATCCATCTGCTGCATCCACACTGATGTACCAGACACAATAGTTCACCAGTACTCCATGCCTGGACCCATTAAAAATTAAGAAATTTAAAATATTACAGTTCATAGTTCTCAATACATAATTTTTAAGAATTACTTTGTATTTTGAATTTCAAGTAGGAGTTCGATAATTTCTAGACTATCTTTTACCACTCTTAAGTGGAAGCATACTTTTATATTAATTCTGCATTAAAAACTCAACACACTCATCAGCTGAATGGAGCAATGTAAAGAGGAGTTACAAAGTAATGAAAGACAATGAAGTATACTAAACCTTAGAAAATCATAATCGTGCTATATAGAGAATGAAATGCCATCTAATGTTTTACAAGATACATTTTCCTAATAAAATTAAGAAATCCTAAATACAGCTAAACTCCCTTCAGATGATAACCTGCAGAGAATTTACAACACAACCTCTGAAAAACAGACAAAAAATACACATTAAAACAAGTATGCTGAAAGCCTAGACCTAAGAACACATTTAACATAAGCAGCCTATATGGTTCCAGGTGCCCTCTTGGAAAGAGGTAATGCACCAAAGAATGGCCTTTCATTATCTCTTTTCTCAAGTTACCACAAGGTACTCTGAGATTTATCACACCATGCTTTTCCTATAGTTTAAAATAGTTAATTCTGTCTATTGGAGCAAAACCAGAATCTTCCAGGCTCACTTCAAATACTATCTTTGTCAAGTGCTTCCACCTCACAGATAACCTCCTTGCATGAAACTTTCCCAATAGGATCTCTCAACTCTAAAATCCACTTTGTGAGTAATCAGATAGGAGATGTAAGTACTAAATATTCCTCACCACCCTCTTGAGACAGCATTTGATTTAGCTGCCCAAAGTAACAACGAACACTACAGGTAATTCTTATTAAGAATGGCAAACACAATGAGCATAACCATAACATACACCAGTTACTCTGGACTTAGACTCTTGTTTCTTTTACATTGTTCATATAAAAGCACTCCCAACTCCCTATTCTTACAAAGTTCAAGCTTCTAATCCATGTGACAAACTGTCAGTGTTTGCCCCTTACTGACTTTATCCATTCTAAGCATGCTTCCCCCATTAGGAGGGTACCATTAGGGCCAGCAAAATGAAGCTGCATTTTCGGCTGATATTACTGAGATCACCTCAGATAAGGTAAGATCAGGAAAGATCTGTAAGATTACGTCAGGAAAGCTATTTTTGGACTACTGTGCCAAGCCATACATATGTTTCACCTACTAATCAGACAAACAGTTCTATGATAATTGGGCTCTGGCAGAAAAAATCCCAACGAACAGTTACAAGTCCACACTTTTTTTTTCACTCATTATCTGTCACTCCCAAAATAAGAAATAGATCTTACAATGATATAACAAGGCAATCAAATGTTGGTGTTATCTTTCAGTAAACTGCCTATTCAGAAACACCGCATTTTGGTGAAATTATCTCAGATTAATTATGCTTTTTTGCCTCAAGACTTCTCTAGAAATTAAGAAACAGCACTAACACAATTAACAATAAGGAAGATGCTCATCAGATTTCTCTCATTGTCTGCTGAAGCCAATAAGCCTTTCAGAAGGAAATTATTCCAATATAGCTCAGTTCAGCACTATGCTAGTAGAGAAAAATTAAAATATTTGTTAGCCCAGGTTGTTTTCCACAATAGCTCACCTTCTAAACTCTCTACCTTTTCGGCCTCATTTCCATCTTCAAAGCCTGGTAAAGGTGCCAAATCTTTGTCTGTTTTTTCCTTCTCTGAAGCTGCTGAGTCCCGGCAAATACCATCAAACTCCTTTTCGTGATCTCTGTCCAGTTTTGTTTCAACATGCTTTGTTGATTCCTTTTGAGAGGAGATGTCAAGAGCTCTCTCTCTGTCTCTCTCTCTTTCAGCAGTATCAGGCAGCTGTCGGTCTCTCTCTCTCTCCAGCTCCCGTCTTTTCTCCCTATCCCTCTCTCGCTCCCTGAGTCTCTCTCGCTCCCGGCTCCTTGGCCAGTCTTTGTCCACATCTCGGTCCCAGTCTCTCTGCCTCCCTTCTCTCCTGTCTCTCTCTCGTTCTCGATCGTGTTCATGTCGATCTCGCTCCTGAAGCCTTTCCCTGCTATCGAAGGACCCGGATCTGGAATGAACCTGACGATCTGACTCAGGGGAACTTCTTCTTGAACTGTGACTTCTTGAATCTTGACGATCTGGATAAAAGATTATATACATAAGCATGACTATGACACATAAATGTAATACCATTTTATTAGATCAAAGATTCAGGTATGAAAATACACTTCTCAAAAGCATAATCTCCAAATTAATAATGTTTTCAGATTGCCTTAGAAGATTTAACGTTACTTAAAAATATGAGGTAAATTTTCCCACTTCCAAAGAAGAATTTTAGTGGCTACGCTCTACTATGAGAGAAACCAATGGAAGGTATACAAGCTTAAATTGGAAATTTAGGCATGGGGAGAAAAAAAAAGGAAAAAAGAATCACCTCAAAATTCAAAATTTTTATAACATGTCTTCTAAAAGCTAGGAATGCCTTAGTCAACAAATGATGAATTCAGAAAAATAATTTCAGGCTTGTAACAATGAGGAGAACAGAGAGCCAAAATGCTTTTGGAAGAAGATATTTTCGTATTGATGTTTTTTATCGTATTTTACCTATTTTTTTTTACAGCACCTACATATATAAAAAAATGTGACTATTTTGATTTGCAATGAAGATTATTTCCATGTGCATTAAAAGTATGCCTAACAGGAACCATAAAAATTTACCTCAGTTTGGGTAATTTCAGAAATTTCCATACCAAAATTAATACTTGTAATGAATTTAAGAACATTATTTAGATGACAAAACTACTTCAGTGTTCCGTTACACAAGCATTTTCTTTCTGAGGTCCTTCAAATTATTTTATTCAAATTTATTTTATTCCCCAGACAGCATGAACCAAATCCAACTGAATGTTTTGGTGTAAACAATATAGTAATCCTGCCCACCGAGAATCAGCTTTTCAAATATGTTAACACTTGCAGGAATCTTAATTCATTCCAGTTTTACAATGGAAGGCAGACAGCACCTTGCTCTCCTGCCACACTAATTAGAGCCATGAAGAACAATTTAGGACTTGTACACAGAATGATAGGTCAGTTGCACTAAAATAGATCTTATTACCTGAAGATGTGCTGCGACTGGGTTCCCCTCGTTTCAACTGATCAATTCGGGACTTCCTTTCAGTGATTTCTAAGCTTTTCTTCTCCCTGTCCCTGTCCCTATCCCTGTCCCTAGAGCTACTGTGCAGGATCCTCTTCCGTCCAGTCTGATCATCTCCACTGCGATGTGCTGAGTCATTGGAGGGGGATCTAAGCCTGCTGGAGGCATGGCTCCGATTGCTACCGAGGCTGCTGCTGCGCTTCTGGTCCACAGGCTTACGGTGTGGTCCATCCTCTATAGTAACATGAGGGGCTTCCACCTTTTCTCCCCTCGGCCTGTGACTTTTTCTATGGGAATCCTCAGTGGTTCTTTCTGGAACAACAATGTCACCACGTTCAGGAACATCTTCATCTGACCAGTCACTAAACGTTGTATCTTCTCTTTTTGTGGGGACTTCTGCCACTGCTTTCTCAGGTGGTGCTTCAACCAATTCTTCTTTAGTTACAGGAGGGGTTCTTGGGCCTTTTTTCTTCTTATGATGTGGAACCATTTCTTCGTCAGAAACTTCAGAATCACCCTTGGATCTCTTCCGCTTTTTCTCCACATTTTTCCTTTTTTGACCTTTCTTAGGGGAAAAGACTTGGCTTTCCTCAGTTGCTGGTTCATTAGTGTACCTTTCCACCCCACTGTCATCATCTTTCTTCTTCTTTGTCGTCTTTTTCTGTATTTTAGATTTCTTTTTGCTGTCATCATGCATTCTATCAGAACCATCTCTTTCTTCAGAAGGACGGTGTCCAAGATTTTCCTGAGCTCTGGACCGGGAACCTTCTGAAGCATCCAGTTGCTCTCTTTGCTTATCTGCTGAAGAAACCCTCTCTTTAAACTCTGGCTCTTCATAGCGCCGGGAACTTTCCTTTCTGTCCGATTTCCGCTCTTCTTCTTTCCAGCGGCTCTGCCGCTCCTCCGTGACGTGAGAGGGGCTCAGTGACCGGGATTCCTGCGGCCGCACAACCTGGCTCAGGAGTCTGTGCTTCTCATCTGCAAGATGCAAAAGGTAATGTGCCTTCACTGTGTAGGAAGGGAAAAGTGTGAGCATTCACTGTCTTCTGCATGCCAAAAAAAGTGTCCATTAAAACAAGTAACTCATTACTTCAGTTAGATTTCTTACGTTTTTCTACTGCTGCAGCAGTAAAAGACAATTTCCAATTTGGTACACATGCATCTTAAACAGGAGATGTGGAAGTCACTATCAGCTGGCAGACATAATATGTAGTGACAAAACGAAGATAAACAACAAATATAGATGAAGAAAAATGGTAGTGCTCATAGAATTATGGGGAACACTTCCGAAACTTTCCCCACATTTTTTTCTATTTAAAATTGCAAGTTATTTTTCATAGATAACCTGGGTCCAGCTGCAGAGAGAGCCCACTCTCACTTACTTTTGTCATCTCCACTGTTGTAAGCATCACTATCAGGAGAATGATCCCGGCGACGTTTGGGTGACTGACGAGGACTTGGACTGCTTTCATTTCTGTGACGCTTTCTGCAAAAGGAACATGCACCACCAAATTTCATCAGGATGCTTTGAGTTTATCATCAATACAATCCCTGAAGTCTAAGCACCTCACACAGAAGACATTTAAAGATGTCATGAAGTTCTACAGTTTTCTAAGTTGCCATTCCGAGTAACAGCTATGCACTTAATGGAAGCACATATATACTGGGATATTTTTCTCGCCTTCACTGGTAGCTTTCTGGTGCTGGAAACCTGGTAATGCAAAGGGTAATGCATGTTCCAAAGAAATTTTATTAACAAAGTCACAAACCCTGAGCTAGATAGATGCTACGTGAATTTCAGACTTCGTAAGGTACCATAGTTTTCTAGTATGTTTCCATTAATGACTGTATTATTAAAGGCAAGACAAGGCAAGGGTACATAAAAGGGAAAATTACATCCTTTAACTCAACTCTTAACTTATGAGTATTTCCATGATTCAGCACTAACAAAACACTGGAATAACTTCACCACCATAGTACCAATTTGGGGGCTACCAGTATGTACCACACAGATGCAGGAGAGACAGCTCCAGACCAAGCCTATGCATAAACAGGATTGTCTTCTTCCTTAAGATCCTCCCCTGTCTACTAACTTACCAAATTCAACAGTAAAAGACTGTCTTTTTCTTGTCTGTGACTGAAGTAACATTTAGATCCACTCACTTGGATTTTCTTTCCTCATGGACATCTCTTGAGCCTCTTTCTTCTCGAATATCTTCTCTCTTGTCCCTGCGGTCTTCCCTTCCTTTGTCTTTGTCATCCCAGTCTCTCTGGCGGTCTCTTTCTTTGTCTCTGTCTCGACCTCTCTCCCTTTCGCGCTCCCGCTCCCGATCTCTCTCGCGTTCTCGCTCCCTTTCTCGTTCCTCCCGCTCTCGCTCCCGCTCCTTCTCCCTCTCCCTCTCTCGTTCCCTCTCCCTGTCATGGTCTCTGTCTCGGTCCCGCTCCCGGTCCCTGTCTTTATCCCGCTCTCTGTCCCTCTCCCGTTCCCGAGCACGATCTCGTTCCAACTCTCTTTCTTTCTCCCTCTCTCTTTCCCGGTCTCTTTCTCTTTCTCTCTCTCGGTCCCTCTCCCTTTCCCGCTCTCTCTCCCGGGCCCTGTCATCTCTCCTGTCATCAGACCGATCCACCCTTCGCTCCTCTCTCCTCTCATCCCGCTCGAGATCGTCACTCCGTCCTTGGTGTCGTACCGGTGAGCTTGCTCTCTGATCTGCAAACACAAACAAGCTTGATTACCAATTGCTAAATGGATATACATTGCTTCCACTACGCTAAGAGCCTTTGTCTTGACAATCTAGATCTTGGTTTGCATTGAATGAAAAGCAACTCTCTGCAGAAACTTGAATATTCCCTTTGGGGAAGAAAGAAGACAAAAAGCAGAACTAATTTTGAAATAATTTTTCAACATTTAGGAAGTGAGCTTTGCTTACTTAACCAAAAGTTGCCAAACAGAAACACACAACTGAATCTATACGATAGGGAGAGGCAAGGATGAGATAGGGGAAGCAGAGCTGCCAGAAGCTTTCATTTGTGTTCACTGCAGTGTCTCACAGTTTAGAATCTGAGTTTGTTGTTGTTGTTCAGACAGTGGATTAAAGACCGAGAGAAAAGTAAACATGCAGAAAATGACTGATCCAGAAGGACAGTGAAATCTGATTTATGCCATTATATTTATTCTCCACAGAATTATCTAAATACTCTTCATTGTATTTTAGATTTTTTTTGAACCACAACAAATCAATAAAACTATTTTCCTACAAAGTATATACAAAAACACTATACAAAAGAGAAAAAAATGGCATAAACAGAGGCTGGTATTTTTCAATCCATTACTCAGAGGCTGAGTGCATTTGGCTGTAAATTGAGACAATGTCCACTAGGCGTGAGCACGCAGAATTTGGACAGAACTAAATCAATAAAACGTGCATTTCCATCAGTTTAATCAATTTTCATCTCTCAGTGAATTAAGAATGATTTAGTGCTCCCCTGTTACCATGTAAAATTAAAAGCAAAGCTGAGTGACATTTCTGCCTTTTTAAAAAGGTAAACCATCAATCCAGGCAATCGGTTCCATGAACAGGTTTCACGTTCTGTTAATGGGGCATACAACACAGTAATATGATTTACTGTGCATACCAAGTATTAGATTTTATAAAGATGTTCTGTAACTCCTATTTCTTCTGTCAGTTTTGGTGACAAAACATCCACATGAAAGTCTTATGTGAATCAAATACTGCAAGTGTATTAGACAATTAAATGCAGATAGTCAGCACTTCTTGTGTGACTTCATTTTTTGAAGTACTGTTCCAGTGGTTGTTTGGAACACTCCCATACTTGCCTTAGTTAAATAAAGACAGCTCAAATTTGCAAGCTTGCATTCTAAAATCATACTCCTCACATATCACATAACCAAAATCTATCTCAATTTTTCTCTGAATGACAGATATTAAAACTGTAGTCTAATTAGGGAAACTGTCTTGAATTGTAGCTCTGAGGATTTACTGATATAAAAAGTGATCTAAATTTTTAAGGAAGAAGACAATAAATTTTGAATTCATGCTCTCTATTTTTCCCCCCAAAGGGAAAACACAGCCTGTTCAATCAACTTCCTTCCTAGAAATTTATTTTGTTGTGATTACATGGTTTTATTTCCAAGGTTTCTTCTGTTGGTTTGGGGGTTTATTTTGGCTTTTTTTTGGGTGGATGCTTGTTGTTTTTCTTACTAAATTAAGAACTTATTAGGATATGAAGGGCACAAAATTGTATTATATATATGTAGAAAGCTGGGGAATTGAAAGAGACGAAAGCTAGACTGCAAAAGCCAATCCCCAGGACACATTCAGTCTTCAGGATTTTTCATCTGACATGAAAAAGGAAGACTGGAGTTTAGGTCTGTTGAAATCCTGCCTTGAAGATGAGAGAGAATCTGAAGCAGAGCCTTTCACACGAACAAGGAACAACAGATCTGTTTCAATAGGCTAAAAAGTATCTTTCGAAGTGGCATACAAAATAGCTCTTTGAAAAACTGAAATTACACAGTAGCTAGAATGTATCTGTCACCTGTAAATCAAAACTCAAGACAGAAAATAACCCAGGGTAATTTTATGTTTAGTCTTCACAGCTCCTCTTTTAATTTCCACGCTACATTCATTTCCCTGACTCCTGTTCTCTTAATTGGTGAGCAATACAAATATATTCCAGAGTGTAATCTGGTAAATTCCTTCAAGCCAATACAGTACACTTTCTGGTATAGCAGTCTGACATCTTGCATACTATGTCTTGCATGCTGTTTTCATGATCACTGGTACCTGTATCAATGCTTACTAGTTAATTATTATTGACAATAGCAAAGCACTCATCACTATTAAACTCCCCAATAAAAAAAATTTTGAATTAAGCATAAACTGTCACTTTTTTTAGTAGCAAGTATTCCATAAATGTCAGCCTAGTTTAGGCCTTCCCCAAAACACAACCAAGCAATTTACAGTACAAAAGCATAACGTTTCTATACAGACAAAGAGAACCAGTAATGAAATGCAATCATGACTCTAAGCTTAACATGCTTATGTACCATGAAATGGAGGAGGAGGCAAAAACATTTTACAACGAAGTTGTACAATGAAATCCCTTGAAGTTCAGCTTTTTTAAATTGGATTAATAAACAGAAAATGCCAAAATGTAACCACAGGGCTGGAGAAAAGGTGACAGTATTTGTGTCTACAATGCCAATGAATGATCTTTCAACAGAAGTTGTATCAAGGATATAAGCAGTGTCAATGTGTGGTGTCAGATGAGCTATTTATGAATCGGTGTGGGGGCAAGAACAAGGTAGAAAAAGGAGGGAAACACACACATTCACACATTTGACTACAGATGTATGAATAAAAATAGACATTAAAATACCTCTTTCTCTGTTGTCACGCCTATCCCGTTCACCATGTCTTCTTTCAAAGGAGGAATCCCTTGCCTGATCCCGACTGTCATAGCGGTCCCGATCAGCATAGCTACTCCTTGATTCCCAGCTGTCGTGGTAGTTTCCACTACTGCTGTGACCATCAACCTGGGATCCTCTAGTCCCCCGACTTCCTAAAGGAGATGTAGCAACACAAAATATGAGCTTCCACACGAAAGGAAACCCACTGATATTTTATACCAACTAATGTATTAACATCGAATAGATTTGAATTAGCTCTTCACGGACTTAAGATTGTAACGTTAAACTCTACTTAACCAACAACTCAAATTTCATGTTTTAACAGTAAAGTTATTATTTGCAAACTTCAAAATAAAGAATTTCTAAGCTCTCATGCCTTGGTCATAGTACGAGGTCTCCTGACTAAAAATATCAGTCCAAAAGCCAGTTCACAGTTGTTCTGAGTAGGCTGTAAGCTAACAGACAGCATAGCAAGAATAGGCAGAAAACAGAGATCATTCTCCCTGTAAAAACTGTATCTAATTTCCCTAATGAAAATGTCACAACAAGCCTGAAAAATCGAAATAAATTATATATTATTAAGAGCTACTTATTATTATTACTATTATTATTACTATTATTATTATTAATGCATCAGAACTCCAGAAACCATTCTAAAGATTGAAGTCACACTTTTTGGAAATCGGATGCGGCAAGGTGGTGAGGCAGGGAGAGATGGGTGTGTGTGAAAAATGGTTTTCAGGCACCAAAGACGTGTGGCTGTTTTTCAAAGAGCATAAGAAACCTCCTGCCCAGTGCTCTGAGACACACCACCTGCTATGAATTTTCTACTACACATCAGCCTCTTATTGTGTTTGTAGCCAATGAGAAAACCTAGCGTTGCAGAACATTAAATAGAGTGATGTAAGGGTTAGGCTTTGTTTTAAAATGGGATGGCAGAATACAAATGTCATGCCACTTTAATGAATGGAGAACACAGAAGTGCTATAAATCATAACAATAGTTTTAATTTAATGACAACAGAATTGAACATAGCATGAACTATTTGGCAGTACTTGTATATCAACTATCAAACAAGGCAGTATGAAGGCAATACTCTATCTTCAATGATAGGGACACATGAATTTTTAAAATTACGCAATACCTTTGTCAGATAATTCCGGACCTCTGCCTCGACTTCTGCCAGTTCTATCACTTCTGCTCTCATTTCTGGAGTCACTTCTGGAGTCATTCCTTGTTTCAGCACGAGAGCTCTCCTCTCTGCCATGGGATCTTCCATAGCTGCGCAAGTCATCTTGATACTGGTCATCCTTTTTATGGGCATCACGACTCTCTCTGTCTCTGTAGTCATGGGAGTCTCGTGTGGAGCGTGACTCTCTCTGGTCACGACTGTCTTTAGTATCCCTGCTATAATCCCGGGTGTCTCTGGAGTCTCGAGTATCTCTGGATTCCCGTGGCTCCCGCCGATCTCTGGTGTCTCTCGTGTCCCTCCGATCTCTCCCATCACGAGACTCTCTGTCATCCCTATGGTCCCTGGAGGTACTCTGCTCTTGGTCATAATCACGATCATCTCTTGTTTCTCTTTCTTTTTCTCTTTTCCCTCTTGTTTCTGTAAAATGTTCAAAAGAATGCTATATACCTGGCTTAATCACAGCAAGCATTTAGCACACAACACTAAAATAACATATTCACACTTAGTGAATCAAAATTAATACATAAGTAGGACAAGATCATGCTGGGTCATCTATCTATACATTTAGTAAGTTTAAAGATCTTATTCTGAATATGAATCTCTACAGATATTTACCTGTTCAAAACACAGTAAGTATAATGAAAATAAATGTCAAACATACTAAAGAGCAAGTCCACTTCAATAATTTTAAGGTAGGATCATTACTCCTCCAATCATAGATTCCTCTTATATTCTACACACACACAGAGACACTTCCAAAATTTGTTGTATATTTAGACCATTGGTAAGGCCCCAGTGCCTTGCTAAAATCTGTTGGTTTGAGCTTGGGGGTCTGTTTTGTTTTGGGGTTTTTCTATTACATATTTATAGTATTACTGCTACAGGAAGGTAAGTTTACAGCCAGTCTAAAATAGAGCTGACATATGTACTCTTTGTAATCTGTCTCTCAAGGCAAACAGCATGTTTGCTTATCACATATTGCCCAAACAGAGGGAATGACTGTTTCTTTGCACACACCTCATTTAATGTCAATTACAAAGACAACAGACAGCAATCAGTGGGGACTGGATTTGGGCACCTCATAGAAAGAGTAATAGTTACTTAGGTGTACCCTGCTGAGAAAATCACTTTTCTACTGACACCACCATTGCATTACACAAAGAGCACCAACACAGATACCTACAAGCACCTTCACAATCAGTTGAGCCTATATAAGTGCTGCCAGAGGTGCTCCAATACACACTACCTGCAAACAACACCACCAGCACAGGCAGAGTAAACACAGCATTTTCTTCATCCCCTAGTCCCTGGGATGGGTGTACATATTGCCACAATTTGAAAATCAAGTTTCCAAATGCAATTTGCAAACAAATAAAAGCAATTCTCAAGTGCTATTTCCATTCATACCGTCCCGCCTTTCGTGGCGCCTGTCATGGGACTGTGAAGTCCGATCGCGATCGTGCCTTCCCTTGTCTCTTCCAGGAGATCGGTGTCTCGAAGGACTTCGCTTCCTCTGAGGTGGAGAGGAAGAGTGTGGGGGATAGGGGGAAGATGACCGCCTGGCAGGCGGGGAAGCTGTCCTTTGATAGGAGGGAGAAGGAGTTCTTTTGCGGTGTGGGGAAGGAGAATGTCTTTGAACAGAGGAGCCTGACTGTGAGGAGGAGGAGTGATGTCTGGAGGATATGGGAGAATGATGCTGACCTGAAGGAGAAGCAGACCTGCAAGGAAGAGTCGAAACAGGCACATGTGTAATAATTTGACTTGGAAGGCTCTTAACATACCAGACAAAAAAGCAATTAAAATAATTTTTGCATTCTCTATCCTCTGACTGCTGAAAATATGTGCTGTTTCTATAAAACATCAAATTTGGCTTCCCTCCAGGGCACCAAGTATATGTTTACAAAATACACTTATCTTTAAATGATTATCATGTATTTAAAGCTCAGGAAATTTTTTCTGATCTAAATTATATTACAGAGTTACCAGAATATACAGGAAGGGAAGGAAGAGTCAGAAAAAAAATCATTATCTTCTTTCCCATCCCCAAATGAGAACTATTGTTTTCTTCAATATAAAATCATTTTTAGAGTTCATAGTAAAATTACACAGGTAATTTTTACAAGGTATAACTAGGATTTTTTTGTTTACAACAACACTGAATTTCTTTACAAAGCAATAGTGTCTCCTTCTTATACACTTCCAACACCTTTTATTGTAAGGATTGATCTTTAAACAATTCTTAGATACAGAAAAACTATACACACACCTACTTAAAATGTCAGTAAATGTTTACACAAACATGGAAAACTCACATCTGATAGAATAAGAAAATGTATACAAAATATTTCTGATCTTTGAAATTTTGTCACCAACTAAAGATAATTTACACAACAGTAAAAAACTTCCTCATGACTAACATGGACAAAAACATACTTCAAGTCTTTAGGCTCAGTAGTGGGGTGGTGTTTTTCCCCTTATCAGCATCAAAGTAACTTGCAAGTATCTTTTCTCATGAAATACATACTGTTCTTAACTCCCAACTCCATTCTACTTCACAAAACTCCAGAGATGACAAGGAGAAAAGTGCGAGTTAAAAAGCCACACTTGCCCAACATATCTTCAAAAATCTCACTGTTCCTAAGGAAACAAGTAGCCTGTGTGCCTCTAAGATGACAATTCATACAGAACTGAAACAGACTATCTGGAATTAGCAGTAAAACTTCCAAAGCAGTCAATGTAAAATTCTGTCAGGGCTAGATATGACTGGCAGAATACAAAAGACTCTCATGACTTACTGTCTTTAAACTTGTTTTTCCCGGTGAAACCATTATTTTGAAACACAGGGTTACCAAAATTGGCTTGCGTGGAAAGCTTTCAATGGTATGGAGACAAAATATTTCAAATATCCTTCCCTGCTTCTAGCAGAAGGCCCGTTTATCTTCCCTGCTTAACATTCCCTTGCACATTTGATACAAGCAAGCAATAATGAGCAAAATACTGAATGTAAAGCTTTAACCCCAGCCAGCAACTAAGTACCACACAGCTGCTCGCTCACCCCCCACCCACCCCTAGCAGGGTAGGGAGGAGAATGGGAAAAAAGTAATGCCTGTGGATTGAGATAAGAACAGTTTAAAAACTGAAATAAAGTAAAATATAATCATGACGGTAACAATAATAGCAATGAAAAGGGAGATAAAAAGAGAGAGAAAAAGAAGAAAACCAAGAAAAACGGTGATGCACAACATATTTGCTCACCTCAACTGATGCCCAGCCTGTTTTGAGCAGCAATTGGATGCTCATGGCCAACTCCCCCAGTTTATATACTGACATGATGTTCTGTGATATGGAATATCTTTCTGGCCAGCTCAGGTCAGCTGTCCTGGCCATGCTCTCTCCCAGCGTTTTGTGCACCTGCTCACTAGCAGGGTGTGAGAAACTGGTAAACATTACTTAGCAATAACTAAAACATCTCTGTGTTATCAGTATTATTCTCATGCTAAATCCAAAACAAAGCACTGAAGTACTTACTAGGAAGAAAATTAACTCTATCCCAGCTGAAACCAGGACACTGGAGTAAGTTAAAAAACAGGGAAGAGTACAGAAGAGATGTTTTGCACACTCTGTACTACTGCTCCAGGAGGAACTCTCTTCTCTTCCCTATGAAGAATCCAGTATAGCAAAAATGTTCATCAGTGACATCCATCAGTGACAATCCAGTGTTGATCCAGCTGAACTGAGTCACCATAAAAGCCAGTTTGCTTACAACTCTTTGGATTGCTGAATGGATGGGTTTTATTTTGTTTGTTTTATCAGCATGCAGAAATACGCATGACATCTGGAATTTCCCCCACTCTTCAACTGAGGTGCAGAAAATAAGAATGCCTTGCTTTCCATTATACAAACACGGAACTACAGTAGTATTTAGCACTGCCATTCTAAATCTGAGCCTTCCCTAAAACTTCCTGCAAGAAGCTTTGTACAGCATTGTTTAGCCAGTTGTGCCTGCTTCTCAAGTAAGATGTGCAGAACCAGCACTTGTGTATTACTTTATCCATTCTAGAAGGGAGAAACCTTGCTCATTTCCCATCTCAAAGGAGAAAGGTTTTTCCATGTTCCACTTTCTAAAAAGGGGAGGGTTAGGGATGAAGAAAGTTCCCGAAGGCTCACACACTGACTGTATCTCATATCAGACTTCTGAAGTTCTACCTGAAAATACATTTGAGAGGAACTGATAAACAGACACTCTCACCTTGACTTGTGGTCTTGATGTGAAAGGTACCCTCAATGCAGTAACTCGGTAAAAAAAAAGTCTCAGAGCTCAAGTGTTTGAGGCACAAACATATTCACAACAGACACATAAACAAGTAGTCAAACCAAGAGAGGAAGTTTCCAAACTAGAACTATTGAAGGAAATAAAATCCACAGAATTGACCTCCCACCTGCGAGAGGGTGAGAAGTTATGTTTGTGAGTGGTTGACTTGGCTGGAGCTCGGGAGGTTTGCCTTCGCCTTGCAGCAGGTGGTGAGTACTCCCTGGAAGGGGAAGAATTACTGCCAGAGTGATCTGCAGGACTAGGAGAACGTTTCTGTCTACGGGAGCTTTCAGATGGATCCCTGGGAAACATCAACAGCAGCTTGTTTAACAGGGCTAAGATGGCATTAGCACATTTCTAAGAAACTACAAACACCTCCAAGACAGAACCTGTGATTACTATATCAAGAGCTATGTCACACAATCATTTGTTCCACCTATGATTTCACATGTGAAATTACCTTAAGCTAGCTACACTCAAGAATGCAAGATATGCACTAAATTAATTGCTACACTAGACTGTAAAAACGAGAACATGGTAAAACCAAGAAAATCTTCTTGTAATTTTACCTAACATTTCATGTAGTGGTAAAACAGAATTCTTACCAATGGAGAAATATTTTGCTACCTTCTCAAAAATTTCTGTAATATCAGAACTTTATTTAAGCACTTTCAAGCTCAGACACATTTTTAAAAGCTAATCCCAGAAGCAAGTGAATGAAAGTAATCCATCAAAACCTTCAACTATTTCACTGACTGTACTGCATAGAGATTTGACATTACAACTTCATTTTTATTATGTAGAGGAAAAAAAGAGACACAAAGATCCAACAGTGAAATACAAGGCTGTAGTCAAGACAGCAATACCTGGTTATACAATAAGACATGTACTGTCTTGATCCTTTCTGCACTACCTAGAATGTTCTTTTCTACTGCTTGCAACTTCCTTCCAGTAATGGACTGTGCAACCATGAGGGAAATAAAATACTTCCAAGTAGGGATGGTGGCATTTATTTAATCAGCTAAAAATGATTCACTGCTCTTCCAATCCTTAGTCTGCTATGCCAGTTACAAAGTAAGACTTAACATGTACCCTACTTTCATCAAGAAAACACAGGACATAAAAATGCAGATCATGTATCTTTCAGCTTAAGTGGACATGTATGCTCCAGAAAATAATAGAACAGTAGTAGGCCACCATTTTTCTAATATATAAATATGTATATATGCAAAAGTGAAGCAATTTTGAAATGTCAGTAGTCTTTGACTACTTCAAAAATATTTTAATCTACTGGAGGTTAGGGAGAGTTTAAATGCACACTGCCAACTTATAAAGGCATTAGTCCTCTAAGATTTCAAAAAAGCATCCAATCAGACCAGTGAATGACTTCAATAAAGATTTTGGCAAGCAATCTGTTCCACTGGTGAAGATCCAAATTCTTGAGAAGTAATGAATCTTTCAAAGGGGCATTTTAAAAACTTAATAAATTATGTAATTAAAACCTACCAATCTGTTAGCTATATTCTATCACTCCATCTATATAACACACTGAAAATACCTCATTGAGTACTGAAGAGATTGTTGGCAAAGTAATACCACCCTTATTATTCAGTGTTCTACAAAAGAAAACTTTAAAAGCAAGATTACAGTTAAAAACTAATAATGCAACATAACTTACCTCTGCTTCTCTTTTTTCTCCTTGTGCCTTTCAAAGTCACGCCCTCTCTCTTTCACCTCCCTTGCCTTTTCTTCTGAACGTTCTTTTGCTTTATGTTTTTCTTTGTGTTTTTTCCCTAGGGGAGTTTCCTCTTGTACTGGAGGAGGAGGGCTAGGGGTACGAGGACCTTTCTTTTTACTCTGGTTACTTTTAGAACTCCTAGAGAGAAATTAACGGTGGGGGGGGGGGGGGATAAAAATGAAGAGTTGACAACTATTTCAAACAATAGTTTCTCAGACATTGACAGGAAAGTTATAACATAAAAGGCCTTGAAGCTTTAGGACGGGATTTACCAACTCCCTTAGCAAGCACCATTCAATAGCAGAACTTGACAGAAAGGTGAATAGAGATGGTAAAATTTTATGTTGAGCTCTTCAATTTATAGCCTTTTTTTTCTGAAGGAAGTGAACAACAATAGGAATTGCTCTTGTTCAGCCAGAACCAGTTTTCAAAGACAAAATGCCCTTACATGAACTGTCAACATCAGAAGACAAAAACCATACAGTACACCTTGTCTGTTTAGACTCCCATTTCTGCAATACCCCAATCATAAACACAAAATTACTTGAACTACTCATGTTTTCAATTTAATGTTAACTACCTAACAGGATGAAGCATCTGAACGTTCTTGAATATGCATCTCACAATATGAAAGAGTATGTATTTTCCACATAATTTACCACTAAGATAAATCCTATTAACTAGGTATCACTGCATATGTCAGTAGCATACCAGCACATGCTATACCATTCCTATGCCAGAAACAATGTTGTTCTGCCTCTATTTTAAAGATGATTTTAACAAATAGGTTAAATAGGGGATTTTAGCAAACACAGATGGGTCTGGTTACACTACTGCAGTAATTTCTTTCCTATCTAAAAGCTGCAAACAACAATTCAAAACGTCCCGTGGCCAGCAAGAATTTTAGAAGCAAGTTTTGGAGATTGAATCTGGTGGCACAGTACCCATCCAGTTAAAATCCCATAATTTTAACGTATTTTATCCTTAATTCTTCCCTGCCCCTTACATCCCTTACTTCTTATCCTCTCCTGAATTCTGAGAAATTCCCAGCCTTGAAAGTCACATATTGCATCTCGAACAGTAATATGCAATACGAGCAGAAGGTGCAGTTGGTCAAATTTTAAACACTTCAGTTTAGAGAGGCTGCTTCACAGGCCGCAGCATTTCAAACAAAAGTGTTTTCCACTTTTCAATGGTTTATATTTTCTCATCATCTCACAAAGATTCTGGAGATTCAAAGAAAAAAGATCTGCTTGTAAACCATGGAGAAAATCAACTGACAACTACATCCATGTAACGATTTTCTGCATAAGATGATTAACAATGCACAATTTAGAGATCTTCCCCTAAATTTATACAATCAAGGACACTGAAAGGAAGGAAAATGGAAAACATTTAAGAAAACTCCAGTAATGAATGTAAGTATGGTTTTCTGTTCTCACTCTTTTGCAAGATGCATCTACATACTGACCTCTGCTGCTCCGAAAGTGGTGAAGAGACAGTAGTTGCTTTCTTGTCTTTCTTACTAGCTGAAGATGATGATTTGGGACTAGATCTTCGTTTTGGAGATTTGCTAGACTTTCGTGGTGATGGCGATGGTGATAATTTAGACCTTACCACCTCTGGAGAAATCTTGAGGGAAAGCATATAATTAAACAGCAAGATACTGATGCTCAAAAATGTAACTGTATGCCGATATATGTGTCAAATATATAAATCCAACAAGTGAGAGAGAATGAGAACCATGTTCATCTCTATTTCAACCTCATCACATTGTTTGCAAAGAACACCATAAGAGGAAGATAACAGAGCATGAAGGAAGAGAAGGTGACACACTCTGTAATACATTACAAAAAACATAACTTAAAGTTTAAAATCAATATGCTCACAACTAACACTCACAGTTGTCTGAAAGACATTCTTAGAGGACTCTTTTTTAATCTTTCCCAAAATTTTAGTTTCTAACACCTACAGCTTTGTCTCTCTCACTCTACTCTGTTACTACAAGGCAAGCTGGAAAATGAGATTGGGAAATGCCTTGTGTTTTCTTTTACGTATCTTCTCTGTTACAGACCTTACTAGTTTTGTAGCACTAAAATACATTAAATCCTACTCATTTAATAGCTGACTTCACAAAGGAGAAAACTTGGTTACTGTGCTGGATGACTCACTTCTAGTCACATCAAGTCAGATAGTAATTAAGTAAGTGCCAGTTATTTACCATCATATAACACAATAGTGCACTTGTAGCTCAAAAACTTTAAGTCTTCTAGGAAACAATTAGAAGCCTATCAAGTGGCTGATGAGTTGTCTTTTTTATTTCACATTTACATAATACAAACCTCTTTTTTAATTACTATTTCCTCTCGTTTCTCCATGTTTTCCTGTTCCAATTTCATGAGTTCTCTCTGAATCTTTTGGCGCTTCATTTCCAAAGACAGCTCATGATCATAATCATAATTAACATCTCCATTATCAGAGTCTTTATTTGAAGAAAAAAAAAAGTAAATAGATTAGTAGACAATTTCTTATGAAATATATAACAATAACATTTAGCATACTAGATGCCAACCATATATATTTCCATTACTTTTAAGCAGTGCTTGAATGGACTGAGAAGGAATGAATGCCAAATTGCTTCTCCAATTACATGCGCAAACCTGAAGTAATTCCAGCTAGTTCCATACAACCTGAAGTTCAACTCTTAAACTTTATTAAAAAGAACACCTTAACTTCTTTCATGGACATTCATCTGAAGTAGCAGGGGAAACATTTATTTATATTTAAAAAACAAAAAAATTAAAACTGCATGTCTTCACAAGGAGCAAAAATATGCAGAGCACTACTTAACTGGAGAACTCATATGAAACATTCATATAGTGATACATGATACTAGAGGGGTTTATTTAATATAGTGTCTTACAAATCGATTTCCACACTTAATTACATGTAAACATTGATTTTAAAATAAGAGTTCTGTATGAACCCTTTCATTGGATAAACATACACTTCCGGAGTTTGCATCTGGTTTTACAACATTATCACTGTTTGGTTTTCACATTAGAAAAAGTGCTATTTCTCTCACTTTTTCATTAAGTCATGGCCAGTTAATATCTTAAGCTTCCAACCTGGCAAATGAAATCTTACTGAAAATTGAGTTTACTCACTCTGTTTATATTAATTTTATTTATGGCTATTAAGTCTAATACTCAAAAAGCATTTTGGGAAAATATCTGTCAGAGAAAAGACAAGTTCATTAAAAAGTTATTAGCTTTCATTCACTTCCTACATACAGGAACTATATCAAAGGTTTTACAATTATTACTTAGTCTATAAATTGCCTTCATGTGTCATGAATGCATGGGAACAGTTCAGAGAAAGATGCATAGCTTCTTTCCCACTCTATCCACCTACTTATATAGCACTCAGTAGAAATTAGCAGACAGTGATTCTCCTTCATCCATATACCAACAATTGAAACTATTTTGAAGAAAACCGTGAATTCTCAAGAGGAAAGTCTCAGTGTCTAAAACTTAAGACATTCGTATCATATGTTTATATAGAACTTGTGGTTTCTATGTTTCAAATCTTTTTGAGTCAGGTTTTATTTCCAGGTATACATGTCATGGATCAATTTTTCTTAAAAGTGTGTAAAAAAAAGTCTACAAAGGAGTGAATATATATAATGGTTATTTTTCCACTCCACAATACATTCCACGTATTGTGGTTAAGACACAGCAAAACAGGACCTGCAACACTTTTAGCAAACAGTATTGAAAAGCTCTGTAGTTATTGACATTTCCAAGGAGCTCCATCCTACAACATACGGTTAACTCCATTGCAAATATGTTCATTGTATCTGAATTCCCACAGACAGCATCACAATTGCCATTTTTTTTCCTGCAACGTTGTAACTATTTCTGAAACATAGACTCTTAGAAACCACAGAAACACCACAGTTCACCATCAGGTGAACTTGGACTCTTAACAAAAGTGAAACTGAGGAGAGAGGAAAACTGCCCACAGCAACAATGAAACCACCTAGTAAGTACTAAAAAAACCTCCAAACTCAAAAACTCCTACTCACCAACTCATACAAAAGTGACTACAGAAGATAACGCAAGACACTTAGCATTCTTCAAGAACTTTTATAATGACAAGTTCCAAAATTACTTTAAATGCAACTTGGATTCATCTAGTGACCTTAATGTAAAAGATTCACCATGGAGTAGACTATACCTAAATTCCTTGTTGCCTGAGTAGTCAAAAGAGAAAAAAAAAAAAAGCCTGTGTTTTTAAAGCTAGTTGATTTAACCACTGTAGCAGTCCAACTCAGGTAACTTGTTAGCTTTCTTAAAAAAAAAAATTAATGGCTACTGCATTCTAAGAAAATATTCCACTTAGAAACCAAATCTTGAAGCATTCCACTTGACACACAGCCCAGAAATCTCACAGTTCTTTGAGGCTTCAGGGGATTGTCAGTTCAATACCTTATACATACCTTCTCTATTTGTTTCCCAATCCCCATTTTCCTCTTCACTTTCTGGTGTTCGCTCCTTTGTAATTTTGATATCCTCCTTTTCTCTATGTCTTCCTCGTGAAGACTCTTTCTATAAAAGGAAAAATGTCACATTAGAGTAAACAACTTTATTTTAAAAGAAGCCTGAAGAAGCAGGTGTATTTTACATGGTATTTTGGCTGGGGTTTTTTCATAGTACAAAAAGCATTTTCCCCTTCAGCCTGTTAAACAAATACCTCCTAAACAAGTAAAGACTCCACAGGCTATATGTTCTAATGCAATTTCATATAATCAGAATGCAAACAGCAGATGAGGAAAAGAGAAGGATTCATAAAATAAGAAGGCTTAAAGGCAGGGCAAGAGTCAAGCACACATCAGAGAATAAAGTCTAAAACAGGCACCAAAAGAAGAGATTAAGTTCCAAAGAGCAGAAGTTTAATGAACTTTTAAAGAGTATAATTGTAACAGCCTGAGCAAGAATTCTCAGCTGTAAATAAGAATATTTATATGCAAGGCAGATGAGCCTCAGAAGTGGAACTATTTAACTCTTCAGACGATAAAGAATGTGGAGAGGGAGGAGATAGTAAAATAAATAAACCCAGAGACCCTTGGCCAGCAGAAGGGGAAAAACTTCTGAAGCAACACAATCTAATCAAGTTCCATTAGCTTTGTGTTTGACTTTCATTGTCTCCAACACAAGTCTAACTAATGCAGTAGCACCTATTTCCCATGTGGCAAAGGGTCCTGTGAACACCTAAGAAAGCCAGAGACATCCTTACAAGAAAAAAGATCATTCCAAGTCAATTGATGCTGCACTGCTCTTGTGCCCCTGCTAAATTCCAGTATAAAGCTACATAGTTGCACCTCTGCATCTGCTGAAGCAACATTCTATAAATGATCAACCTGGGCTCAAGCGGAATACAGGACAAAGTTTCTTCACTACTAGCAAAAGAAGAAAATTCAAGCTTAGAAGTATCTCAGGTTAATTTATTAAACAGAAATCAGAACAGCAAAGTCTGTCCCGTAGTCCTGTTGTTCTCACCTCACATAGTGCCCTGTTTTGTATTTCTGGGGATTCTTTCATGTTGGTATGTGGGAGAAACATCAAGAAAAGGAGATGCCTGAGAATTTCACTAGCTATTCATTATCGAGACCTAGATCTTGATTTAATTTAAAACCTTAACATCAACTTAGAAACACTTTATGGAAACAACATAAAATTGCAGTTACTCAAAAATGAGTAAAATTCAACTATTCCTCTTTAGTCAGTAGCAATGTCAAAAACTTATCTCTCTAGTTTAATGACGTAAATCTCTAAAATGATGCAGAAGGTCATAATTTACTGAGTAATGTTGGTTGCTGACATCCACTGCAGACAAGTCTACATCCACTAAGCCGTTGTCTCAACATGCACTAAAGAAATTCAGTCTAAGAGCCAGAATTCTACTATGCCCCAAAGCAAGTTACTTGAAAAGAAAATTATCCTGATGAGATCTAAAAATCTCTAAGTATAACAAGCCATCTCTGCAACCATTCTTTTCTAAGACTGTTCATATTTTTCAAATCCTCCATGAAGGCCACATCTGTTCCTGAGCTGTATATTTCTGCTATATACTTCAAGTAAGTCCTACAACATAAACTAACAAAACCATAATTTCTTAAGTATTAGTTTAGAATAGGAACTAGATTACTAGTTTCTATTAATTCAACACTACCTCTTACTAGCAAACTGGAATATGAACACTAGGACAACCTCTCTATGCCGATTTAAAAAAACCTCGCAAAGACAATTCATCAAATAACTTGTCATCAAAGAACGTGCAGCAAGTCGATGCTTCCAAGTCCAATTTAATAACCCATGTTAAAAATACTACACAACCTGTATGTATCATGCCTACCTCCTCAAACTTACAAGCCAATACAAGCATCTTGAAAAAGTGTTTATTTTCTCCTTTCAGTGGAAAGATTCAGTAGTGACACAATCATATTTCTACAGAAGAACTGAGAACAAAAACAGCTATCAAACTGAAATAATGAATATAGGGGGAGCATGGTATTTTACACTAATGTTGTTTAGTTGTCAAAAAAAAAGATTTTGACAACATTGTATCTTTAAAAAAAAAAAAAAATCAGTTTAGAAATTGAGTATATTTTCCTGGAGCAAGCAAATCAAGAATTTAAGTTATGATGGTTTAGAACACATACTTAATTTTTCTCACTGAAAAGCCTTCAACATATTCCTTTTATTTTACTTGTTACACTTGTAACACATTTGATTCCCTCGTACTATGGGAATGAAATACTTCCTTCATATCCTTACAGACCTGTTTTGTCTCTACCTTAACAAGCCAAGAATAAAGTTAAGTTCCTAAAGGCCAATCGCATGTCTTTCACTTGTACTTGAAGATGCTCTATGTCCACTTCAGTCACTCTTGTTAACTATTTCTCTGTAGACTCTGAAAAATGCCATTTACTAAATGAGAAACATTACATTTTCATAATTACGTATTTATTTTTAGCTTGTCCTAAGAGGAAACAACGATTTAGCAGACTTGTCTACGCTGTTTTCAGGTACATGCTCACAGCTAAACATAGCAAGTGTTTATAGATAGACAGATGTTTACAGTTTCATGATGATGTTCAGGAGAGATGCCACATAAGAAAGGGAAAAATGGATGACATTATGGCTGACTTCTCTGAGATTTCATTTAATTTAATATCTATTCAAGTTGAAGTTCTGTGTCCCATGTGACCAGCACTCTACAGTACAAGACTTGATGTCTACTTGAATAAAATTCCCACTACTGCCAGAAAAGCCTGGCCAAGCACAAAAGGACTCATCCAATCTGTAAAACATGCTTCTGGCCAAGAAGTGTTACGTTGTCAACACTGATGGAAAGAAGACTCATACAACCTACAATTCTTGCATTGCAGAAATCTCAGTTTCAACGTTATCAAGTTGCACATGTACATGCAGCAGCAAAATAAACTCATTCCAAAGCATAGATTACTTTAAACCTACAGTAAGCTATGCATATTACAGCTACAACCTTTTGGGCAAGCACAGTACTACTTTGCTCTAGGTATAATATCTTTATAGTGTAAACTACTAGCATGCTACAGAAACGTAAGAAAATGAATCTGATGTTCCCCTGACAACAAGAGGTATCTGTTCCCATTTCAGAGATGGAAGACAATGCTGAGTCCTATTTCCAGTGGAAATAGTTAAAAACTGCAGTCACAAAACCCACAGATATGAAACAATTGATACGCATTCCTCACAAAAACCTTCCAAAGCGTACGTTAAGTTCCTCCCACATCATACACACCTTCCAGGTTAAGACTTTGGATAAGACTTCATACATCAGTAACTGTCTTCTCATAAAACGGTGAAAATTTTAAAATAAAAATTTCCAATTGAATACAGTAACAGCAGGAACCTCATCTAATTATTTGTATAATAATTCATACACTAACATACAGTGAAGTAATTGCAAACACAAATCCAAGAAACACAAAAACAACTGAGTTTAATGTAGGTGTCCACATAACACAGCATATTGTCTCTGCAAATAATAGTACAAAGCATGAAAAATAAAAAGGGATATAGTCTATAAACTGACCATATAGGAAGTTTCTTCCTGAATACATACAGAGTGTACTAGTTATCTTGTGTCTCCAAAGAAAAAAAAATCTCTTCTGAAAAGATTTTATACTACTTATACTGTCTTAGCTTCTTGTGGAACCTATTCAGCTTCGTGTGTCTATTTTCTGGCAACCAGGTAGAACTGTCATATATAATGTAAACAGCATTTCCCCTTGTCATTTTGAAATTTGCCACTCTTTCTACTGGGATAAAGCATGAATATGGCGCATCTAACTTTCATTGTCTCAAACATACGTTATATGCATTCATCCCATGTCCTTTCTTCTCTCCAGTTTATTTCTCACCTCTTTGCCCACTTCAAGAAGACCTTTGACTGCATTTTCTTGCATACAGGTGATGACAACCAAACAGCATTTCAAATGAAATGGGACCATGAATTTCTACAGCATATTATCAATCATTTTCTATTCCATTTTTATATACCTGAATGTTTGCTTCTACAACTGCGACTTCACTTTGAACACATGGTTTCATTGAGCTGTCCACAACAACTTTTTTCTACTGAGTGGTTTCATTTATTTAAAAAAAAATCATTAATTTTTTGTTTTAAATACTTTTTTCATTGTGCATTACCTTGCACTTGCCAACACCAAGTTTCATCTGCCATTGTACTGCCAAAAACTATCTTTCCCAACTCCCGTAGCATTCCTCAGACTTCAGTAATCTTAAGTACTGTTTTCAAATCTTCTGCAAAGTTTGACATTTGGGATGTCCGATGTTTTTTCTACATTCTTTATAGTTCTTTAAATGAATTACGATAGCATTCCGTGTAATTCAATTTCAAATTAATCTAAAATTTTCCCCTTAGCTGGCTTCTAAACCTAAAATATTATATCTGCTATTCTTTGAGTATCTATACATACGCCTCAAAAGCCTTGCTTCAAAACAGGTTTGACTTATGTCAGGCAGTTCTCTCTTAACCACTACTCTCCATCGAAGTTTCAGTCTAGTAGTCTGGTGAAGCGCAGATTTTGTCTGCAAGAACATTTCTGATCGGTCTTTTTTTTTTTTAACAAAAATTATGAAGCTTCCTATGGAAGCTCCTTTATGTCAAAGTTTTCTTATTGAGCTCTGCTGTTACCCCAAAAGCTTTAATAAAATACGGAAACATCACATATTAGATCTCCACCATGACGGCAGCTCTACCGATGGAGCCAGATTGTTCTTAGCAGTTCAATCACTTGAGTCTTCTGTCCTTTTAGATATACTGGTTCTTTGCAAAGCAACTCTTGACGACTGTCCCTCTTCATCTATTTGTTCCAGAATATTTTCTTTGATATCCTGTATTTTGAAAGTTGCCTCCATGGAACTAAAACAAAAGTTCAGCTGTTTTCTCAATCTTCCATTTTATGAGATTGAAGCAGAGCAATTTTTACTCTGCTGTGTGCTTAATCTAGAAATAATTCTTTGATACTTTAACACTAATTCTCCAATTCCTTTAGATTCTTGCTTCCAGTTCACTTTCACTTGAGTTTTAGTCGTTTAAGAGTATTTTATTATTACATTAAGAGAACACTATAAAAAGCATGGTTAACTAACCAAAAGTAAGAATTACATCAAAATTAGAGTTGCACCAGGACAGAAGTTACAGCAAATTTTTAATGACGGTTGGAAAAAAAAATTTTCCCACCAACCATGTACTCAATAACTGAACAGTTTATTCAAACTATTAGAAAATAAAAGAAACACATTTCAGTAAAAAGATTGAGAGTTTACACAAATTAATAGCAACTGAAAACATGATTGGAAGGTAAGCCATTCTGTTAAATTTAATGATAGCAGCTGCTGCTGATTTATTTACAGCTGACATAAAAAATTCATTTTACACAGCAAATAGGAACAGACCAAGAGGAAATGATAGAACATTGTTAATACCTGCAGAAGCAAAACTGATTTTTTACAAATAAAACCTTTGAAAAATTATTCATATGAAGATGGTCTTAAACATGGTGCAGGAACACAGTGGTGCTATTGCTATGCAAGTACAGGGTCACACTATGAACTCTATCCCTATTTGTTTGTAACATTAGAAACAAGTAACACAATTTAAAAATAATTAAATTTTGATATTTGAGGGCCACAGGGTTGAAAAAGATGTTTACAAAATAAGAACAATAATGAATTTTTTGCAAAATCCATAAAGTGAGCAGTTGGGGTGCCTGATGAGTATGTGATGAGAAAGGCAAAATGAACCAGCACAATAGTAACTGCATGGTTTCATCAAAAGCAAATTTGGGGTGAACAACTTAAGTCAGGATGCGTGTATACAAGGGATATGAATAAGTGTTGGGAGAAAATAGTGGATAACTGGAACAATGGTTAATATACTTTCTTGGTAATAATCAAAGAGTCTGCACTGTTATTAAATACCTGTTTATCAGTATTTGTAACACATTTTTAAGTCTGTGTGATTTATAAAATCTTTGGGAACCAAAAGACCAGAAAGCACTATAAAATTGCAAAACAGTACAATTTTTAAGACACTTCATAACAAAAAATGTGAAATGCTATGTACAGAATGATCAGTTCCTTAAAACATTTTCAATATTACAAGTCACAACAATAAGTTTTCTAGGACACACTGCCCAATTGCTACTGAGGGATTCTGGAGTTCTGCAAACTCCACTCTTACCCTAACAGGAGAGGATGATTCCTCTGTACTTCGTTTCTGTGGCTCTGTCTCAACATCTTGACGTTTGTTCTTCATTCTTTCCCGAAGATCTCCAGTGGGTCTTTCTGGTGACCTGTGTAATACAGAAATATAATATAACCAGCTCTATGGGACTATTTTTTAAAGGAATATTATCTGTCTTTTAATTATTATTTTATTGGTATATCCAGAAAAATCTAAACCTCCCACCCAGAGGTAAGGTGGATGAGTAAGAAAATATTCCGTTCTAAAGGGCTTATGCATTACAAAAACCCCAATCCTTTCAGGAAGTCAAGGAAGACTTGACTCTAAGAAGAAAAACTACTTCTACTCAGTTACTACTCTACATCAGCTTCAGGTGATCCCATCCAGAATAAATAACCTTTTTCTGACCATCATGCAAATGTGTTTCACAATCACTCCTGCCAAATATTTCAAGATTTAGCCTTCTCCATAATCTAAGCTGCAACGATTTCTATATATATATATTATACAAATATAAGTGTCTCTCTATATATATTACATTTATATATTTAAAACCACAATTAATGCAGAATCAAACTACGATAGGCTAGCAATGACAGTCACAGAGAAGCACAACTCTGAATGTGGATGAAGTCTGCAAGCAGAGGTAACATAACCTAGGTACCATCCTCCCATGGTCTAGGTGAGGCTGCCATACAGGAAAACACTGCTGCAAGACCATGAACCAGAAATTAACTCTTGGAGGCATCTTCCATTTTCCATCTTGGAGTAATATAATTAATACATTATCTAATTACAAAATACTGGATGAACTCTACTAGTCATGCACCTTTATGATATCGTTTCTGTAAAAGATATCACTGTGATGTGGAATGAGAGGAGGAACATCCTACACTATTATAATTTTGTCACCTCTTAGTACAGATTAATGAGTTCATTCACCCCTTATGGGTTAAAGGAGAACAAGCACTGAATCAGTGGGGCACTGGCACAGGTTGCCCAGAAAAGCTGTGGATGCCCCATCCCTGGCAGTGTTCCAGGCCAGGCTGGATGGGGCCCTGAGCAACCTGGTGTAGTGGAAGGTGTCCATGGCAGGGGGGTTGGAACCTGATGATCTTTAAGGTCCCTTCCAACCCAAAGTACTCTGTGATTCTATGATTCAGACAAACTCCTAACCTAAGGGAATGTAGGAGCTGTTTCAGATGATCTTTCAGTTCAAGAAAACAAATTTTCTCTTCACACATATTTGGCTTGATACCGAGTTTAGCACTTCTGTGATGGTACTTCTATTAGCTGTAATTATAGACTCTTCTGTGAAATGTATACAAGTACTACATCTGTGCCTATCAGCTGACACTAATATAAAGAGATACTAATGCTGTCTTTTGATTAGAAAACTTACATGTAATATATGAAAAATTAAACTGGCATTTCCTTTTTTTTTCAGACTGAAACAGTTTCCATTGAGAAAGTAATTTCTCCCACTCTTCCTGCCACATTATATATAAAGGGTAAGACTGTCTTTCACAGTCAATGCATACAAAAATTTAATTTAATAGGATTTAGTTTTCAATCTGCACATATTTGAAGAAGTAATTTTTTCCATTTCATCCTCTGCACTGTTTCCTATATTTAATTCCTTAAACTACATCATAGGGTTAAATGTATGAGGACCTACAGAGACAAAGACCAGTGACTGCTCTCATTTTTTAATACATTTAATTCTCCATGAAATTTTAAGTACATGTCAATCTAGATCAGAGGAAATGTACAGAAGAGTGGAGCTCTGCTTTTTTCCATCACTAAGGATCAAATAATAGCTGGCATACAAGTACAAATAAGTTATCTTCTTTGCATGCTTGACTATATGATCTTTAAAGTGTCTGGATTTAGTAAAGGTTATGATTCAAAGTATTTTTCCCCTCCCCCATATTAAAAAGGTAATTATTTGCATTACCAAGACTCTCTGAAGCATTCTAACCATCAACTACCTCAACAAATAAACTGTCTTTCAGCATTAAAGTGCAATTCAACACTTTAATTTTCAATAATATTTAAGCTACAAATACAAAGGATTTGGATTAGTGAAACTGAAAATTAAGTTAAAAGGCAGAAAGATTATCAATAATGTATTCATAATATTGCTCCTCGAGAGGAATACTTTCAGAAAAAATCCCAGTAGCTGAAGGAGAAAGCAAGAGAACTTGTACTGAACACAGCTCGTGTACCTTATAGAGTGACATCTGATATTTTAATACGACTTGTTTTTTAAAAGTTATAGGCTGGAGTAAAAAACAAAATATCCAAACCATTTTACCCTCAATTAATACATTTTTAATTCCCTCCATGCTGAAAAAAAGCTATTTTGCTAAAGCAATACTCAAATCTACTTAAACATTATAAAAATTCTGAAAAAACCACAAATTTAAAAGGTACACATTCAGGGCTGGGGTTTGTTGGGCAATTTTTTGCTTGGTTTTGCTGTTACTGGGTCAGCTTTTTTCAGCTTGAGGAGAACAGCAAAGCAAAGTCATGGTAATCACCCTATCTCTCCGTCCCCAAAGACATCTTAACCCTCTAAAAACTCTAATAAAATAAGACTGACAATAAGTCAAATTTTAAGAAATAATTACTCAGGAAGCCATGACTGTTTTCAGATGCTTTGGGTAAATGCACAGAAAAACAAGCTGGTCCACTAGCTGATTTTTCTTTTATTTGTACCACAGCTTCATTTCTACATAAGCTTCCCCCAGCCCACTCCAAAAGAGATTTTTGGTTATTCCAGGTCATGCTCACCGCTGAACTGCAACAGATCATGACAATTTACCTCTCCAGTTTAAGATGATGTGGCTAGACTGCAACTGCCAGAACCTTTCACACAAAAAGCATTATGCAATTTCTTTTTAATATTTTGAGCTGGGCCTATCTTTTAAATAAGGCCTAAAATGTAGAATTTCCTCCTTTCAAATTCTAAAGCAGTTAAGTGATTTTAAACAGCATTACTTCCTGCAACAGTTCAGTTATCCATGTTCAACAGCATTTAGGAAATGCACATTCATAACAGTGCCTTCATTTGTTCCTGTACTTCAGGAACAAGTATGCAGCAACAGGCACACCTGGCAACACACCTACCTGAGGATATCTCTGTGCACCTGTGTGAGAGCACACATATGCATAGAGGCAGATAACCAATATTGTGTATTATGTACATATTGTAACTCCTCAAGAAACACTGTCCTGTTTTCCAGTTTACCATACAACAATATTTGAAACTTTCAAAATCCATACATTCTTTCCTAATATAATTGCTGACTTGGTTTGGCTTTTAAATGCAGTGTGATGATCCCAAATATAGAGGATCAGTCAGACTAAGAAAAGGGCCCAGCAATGGCATGAAAATCGCATGAAGGAGCCAGACAGGAAGATGCCAAGCAGCCAACCAATAATCTACAAGTGCAGAAAGAGCAAAATTCCTCATGGGATCACATGTTCACAGACAGCTCTTAGTTAGCTTCTCCTTAATTCTGATGTTGGGAAGACTAGCAGGTCTAATAGTAAATTCTTAATGCTATCACCAGGTAACCTTCATGTAAAAATATGTTAGGTTTTATTTTTATAGCAAGATTCAAATTCGTGCTGTGAGGCAGCATTAGTGCTAAAATTGAACAATCTTTTTCTTCACACTTTAGAGTCAAGTTTTCCTACTGTCTGGTGGTGTTTTGAACTATGTGAGGCATTATGGTCAGATAAAACCATTAACAACAGGATTTACTGCAGACAGGTATGGAACTTGAGGCAGAAGATACGGAGACAGGCAGCAAAACATGCTTTGTCCTACCCAACTCCCAGCAAAGCAGATGAGACTTCCCTGGCAGGCATGGCTGAACACATGCAGACACACTGCCATTTTGTTATCGCAGGTATTTGAAAAAGAGTATTGCTTTAACTGAACTGATGTGGAAACAGCATTCGTTTGGCTTGCCTGAAGCTAATAAAATTGCATTTGAAGTGCCTGGATAACATTTGTGAAAATCTCTCTAATGTTAAATGGCATGAAAATGCCAACATTTTATTATGTACGTATCATGTACCAGCTTTTTCTATGCCTGGCCAAGAGCTATTAGTGGAAACTTTTGAAGACAGGCACAGTTCTTTCATTTGTCTGTTTTGAGAGGTGTGTAGGGGTGGTGGGCTTCCTCCCCCTTTTTATTTTTAAAACACCTTTATTAAATGCTGAATGTGCCAAGCAAATAAGCAGGAAGATTTGTCCTTTGACTTTTCATATAGTCCTAGCAAAAAAGTTAGCAATAAGAAGAAGGAAATCAACGTTTTTCTTAAATGTCAGTGGTGACAGTGAAGCAGAAACATAGCTTTAATAATTAAATGTCACTTTTCTTCAAATGACCAAGCAGAACTATGCAATGAATGTTCCAAACACTGAAAGCAAGGAGAAAGTGACATTATAACAGTTTTAAAATTTAATCCCTACCAGTAAATCACTTACTTCATTCATTTAGAACATTCAGTGCAGAACAGAGTAAAATCTTTTACACACCAAAAGAAATATTAACCTCAGTGACGTATTTTGTATCCCAGCTGCTACCACCTTAGAAGCAATGGAAGATCAAACAAGCAAAGTCAAGATCATTCTAAGAGCATGCCACAGGAACAGGAAAAAGAACCAGACACAGAACCCTAACCTCATGTCAACCTTCCTGTTGTTGCTTTACTCTTTGATGCTTCAGTGTGCGCATCCATAATCTATAGTTAATATTGGCATCATGAAGGACAGCTGTTTGCAAATTGTGAAGCCTTCACAGGAAGAGATACTATGCTAAAACCGTAACACCTTTCTGTCCTTTACAGCAAGAATACTACTGGTTTCAGTTAAGTGTTAGGCCACACAAAGGACAGTTGAAAAAAAATTAGATTTTACTAACATATAAAGAGACATATAATAAAAAATATTCTCTTTTGAAAAGTGAGGCCACTTTTTGCATCTCCCCCTACAGTATAGGACATTTTTCTATATCTAATAGATAAAATCACAAAGCCATGTTCTGATGAGAAGTGTTTTCTCACAACAGGAGAGAAAGGACAGACATTCATCACGCAACATAGCGAAGGCAGAAGGGCTGTGAGTGTGAGCACTGCTGTAAGTAATTGCAAACCGGCATTTTAGCACAGGACAAAAGTACACCAGAAAGCTGCAGTGACATTATGCCAAAACAAAAAAGTACTAAGGTACTTAACTTCCCATTTCAAGTAACACATAGTTAATCTGCATCCAGTCGACTCTACTCATTTTTTAAAGCTGTATACACACAAAAATCCTGCACACTGCCAAAATAATTGTTTTAAGCAGCTTCATAAGGCAATTGATTATTGATACAACATACAATTAGGCACACCACAGCATTTCACTTAAAAAAAAACCCCAACAAAACAAAAGACAGAGTTGCAAAAGCTATTTTCCTACAGCATGTGAAGAATTCAAAGTGAGTTCTTGATTTACCTTCTATAACTGCTGCTATAGCCTTTACCTCGTGGTGAAGGGCCATGTACGAATCTACATGTGTTCCCATAGAGGCAGTTGCCAGTCTTCAGCCAGTTA